TTTACAAACAAAAATCTCACATAAAATCACAGGATTCAGGCAGGTCCAAGGATAGATAGATGCTCAGGTGGACACCAAGGTGGAGCCAGGAGTCATCCCTTCTCAGGTTCCCTGTGACACACACCCACGATCCCTCAGCTCTTCCACCAAATCACAGTGGTTCCACCCCCACCGTAGAAAACCCACCACTCTAGCTCAACCTCTTACTATTCAGAGAGGGAAACTGAGGCTGATAGTGCAGTTCTGTGTTAGATTTTTGTTGCTGTGACCAAAATATCCAGCAAGAACAGTGTAGAGGAGGAATGTTTATTTGGGCTCATGGTTTCAGAGATTCAGTCCATGGTCAGCCACTCCATTGTCCTGGGTCCAAGGTGAGGCAGAATATCATGGTGGAAGGGCATGGTGGAGGGAAATTGCTTCAAACTAAGGTGGGTTGATTAGGTCACAACTCTCATAATTCATTCATTTCACCTCTGAACATTCCTGCATTCACATGGGAGCATTTGGGGAACCTCATATCCAAACCATAACACTTTCCCAGGGTCACATAGTAGATATGTATTTTAAATGCAGCAGAATAAGAAATCTTGTAAATTCAAGCTTTCAGTGAACCGCAACATCTGGGTAAATGGGCTGTCCTGCAGGTCAATTTCCATTTTGTCTTGGCCACTTTCTAGCTACCTGTCCTCAGGTAAGTTTCTCCAGCTCAACTAGCCTAAGGCTGGCCCAGATCTGGAGGCCTCTTGACACATCTCCTCCGGCTCAACCTCCAGTATCTAGAACATGACAAGACCTCCTCTCAGAGCTGCTCATCCATTTTTTTTTTTTTTGGTCTCAACAGAGCAAAACCTCAGGGTGAGCAGAGAATGGGGAACCCAGGCAGCAGACGGACTGTCCCGAGGTCAGGCGCTCTGAGGCTGAATCAGGGCCATCTCCATATGGGGCTCAGCATTTCTTCTGCAGCTCTCAGAGCCACAGTGGCTATTGGCAGGCCACAGCTGGAATACCACCACAAGTGTCTTGTTTTGACTGTGGGAATAGAGAACAACGAGGAAGAGAGGGACTGGCTGGAGAAGCAAGGGAAATCTTTCAGGAAGGAAGGCAGCACACCAGGCCCTCCCACCTGCTGCCAGGTCTGCCTCACCCCTCCCCTCATGCCTCGCTAATCAGGGCTTTCTCTCCCCTTCCAACTGTTCTCCTCTCTTCTGGACCCACCCCTGCACCTGGACCCTCAGCTGCCTGATGGTGCTCCTGCACTCCTCACCTAAGGAAACCTCTCTCTCCTCTGCAGGCATAACAACCTGCAGCCCTTTCAAATGGTGACTGCTTATTGTCCCCATCCCTCCCCCAGAGTGACCACCCTCCTACAAAAACCTAGCTCTCATGAGACTCCTGGGACCAGCTTCCCTTCCCCATTTGACCGTCCGTCAACAACCTGATCTCTCCCAGATCATAAAAGCCTTGACACCTGGCTCTCAGGCTTCTCCCTTGGTCCAGGAATCACCACTGATGTCCAGCTCCTGTGACCCATCCACCCAAAACCTTGGACTGCTTCACCTTCAGATTCCCACACCCTGGTTTCACTCAGGCACCCCAATTAGGACCACATGCTAGCCTTTGACAGGACCTGGAAATGCTACTCTTGGAAATTTTAAACTCAGTCATCCCACTCTTCACCCTGTCCTTCAAACAAATGCCACACACATGACCTCTGGCTCGTTACTGTCACCTTCTCCCTCCCTCTATCCCTCTCTTTTCTCTCAACCTATTAGCATCCTCTTCTCCTCAGTTCTGCCAATGGTTAATTCAGAACCCTTGGTCGTTGCATGAAGTGTTTTCTTACGAAATTTTCAACTCCGATAACTCTCATCCTGCTGTCACTCTCCTTCTCCAGCAGAGTCCCACCTGGTGGCCTCCTCACTCTTTTACTTAGTCTCTAGGATCCTGATGGAGAAAATCACCCAGCCATGAGGGCTGGAAGTATTACCGTGTCCTTCCTTCTCGCCAGGCTCTGTACAGAGTTCAGCTGGTCTCAGTGAAGCTCATTCCACCCCAGATTCCCAAGTCCTCTCAGGCTGTGTTTTGAAGGAGTCCCCCAAAGTTGTTATGTCAGAAATGTAATCCCCAGGGCAACAGTGTCTGGAGGCGGGGCCTACTGAGGTGAGTAGGTCAGGAGGGTGGAGACCTCAAGAATGGATTAATGTTATTGGGGGGAGCTGGTTAGTCACTACAAGAGTGGACTTGTGGGGCTGGGGATGTGGCTCAAGCCGTAGCGCACTCGCCTGGCATGTGTGCGGCCCGGGTTCGATCCTCAGCACCACATACAGACAAAGATGTTGTGTCCGCCAAATACTAAAAAAAATAAATTAAAAAAAAGAGTGGACTTGTTATAAAAGTGAGCTTTGGGTCCTTTTTTGCACGTCCATCTTCTGCCATGGATTCTGCCTCACCAGATCCCGTCCCATGCTCTCAGACATCCCAGCTTGCAGGGCCGTGAGCCAATCAAATGTCTGATCTTTATAAATTGTCCAGTGTTGAGTATTCTCTTAGAATAACACAAAATGGACTAAGACACTTGACCTCCACCAGCCCCTTCCCTCTCAGACAAAGCCAATCCTAGTCCATCCTCCCTCTCATCAAAGACGAGCACCAAGTCTTATCCGAGCATATTGTACCTGTGCTCTGAATCTCCTTCTGACTCCCTCCCTCCAGGAATCCTCTCCCCTTATTTTTCCTGAATCTTCAAGTACTCATTTTGTGCTCATTTTCCTCCATAAGGTTCTTTCCATGTTAAAATGAACAACCTCAAACAAATGAAACACCTTTTGAATAATTACCTTCTCCTTTATCTATTTTCATCATTTCTTTTATATTCAAATTTCTTTAAAGGGTTCCTCTTCCACCTCCTCATTTCCTTAGTACTCCACCCATGGGGCACAGCCTCTGCCCAATACTGCTCCACTGAAACTTTGCCTCCCTGTTGCTACCTCCAATGACACATCCAGTGTCACCTTGAGATATGATGGGGGGGGGGTATAGAAAAAGAAAGACTGAGTCTCCAAAGAGAAGCACCCATGAGCAATGAGCCATTGGAATGAAGAAAATGCCCATGAACCTTGGAATAAAGCAAAACTTTTGCTTTCAGCCAAGCAGGCATTCCTGAGCAACATAGCCTGTGCCCTTGACCCATGCCCCTGCCTGCAAAAAGTAAGGAAGGCAATATGCAAGTGCTAGAACAAGGAGCAAAAGTGGGGAACTCCACTCGGACTCCTAGTCCAGCCCCTAGCTACTGTCCCTCTATAAATATTAACAGCCCAGACCAGTGAGTGGCTATCTCATCCTCTGGAGATGACCCATATTCTCTCTTGAATATGGTTTACCCCAAAAGTTTCTCACCCTCGAGATGGCTGGCATTCTCCCCTGAAAGTTTTATTTCCTGTTTTACTCCAAACGGTATCTCTCCCTGGAGATAGCATACCTTCCCCCCATCTGCTTTCCTCATCTGTCTGTTCTCTGACTGGCATGTGCTGAAATTCTTTTCCCTCCTGTATACCAAGGACCTGACTTGTCCTGAGTTCACAGAACTCTTCTCCTGACCCCGGGGCTGCCTTGGCACTCCTGGGCCTTCCTCCACTGATTTCCTCCTCCTTTCCCTCTGCCACCTGCTCCTTCTTTTCTGGGCTCCTAAGTGTTCCTGCTGCTTGGCCCCTAGGGTAATCTCACCCATGGACTTATCCATACAGACTTCCAGATCTCTCTGAGGATCTAGCCCATGTCTATCCCCCAAGCTCCAGGCAGGAAGATTCATATCTCCCTGTATTTCCTCTGCAGATATCTCACAGACCTCCCCCCTAGACCCTGCAGGTCTAGGTTGGACATTCTGACTCTATCTCAGCACTCTCTCTCTTTTTGGTGCATGTCTACATGGTGTCTGCCTGGACCACCACAACAGTTTCCCATCTGTCTCCCCACCTCCTATATGGTCCCTTCCACGTCCACCTATAGGCCCATCCCCCAAAGTAGCCAGAATAATATTTCTTAACAGGATAATCCCACCACAATGCCCATCTGCTTAATATCCTTTAAGATTCCCCTACCTCCAAAGTCAAGTCCAAATAATCTTACAGAGCCTTTCAGATCCACCCTGTAAGATCTGGTCCCCACTACCCTCTCTAGACACCTCTTTAGTTTCTTGCACATAATGCTCCAATCACGACGAATTCCGTATAGATCCCTTCCCCCTCCCTGTTGTCTCCCTTCATGGTTTCACAGGTGCTGATTCCTCTTCTTAACTCCCCATGGCTAACTCCTGCGAGTCCTTCAGTACTCAACTCCTAGACCCTGTTCCAGAAGCCTCTTATGGCCTCCCCAGCCCCTCCTGTTTGTGTCCTGCAGTGCCCCATGTTGTCCTCTCTCCTGACATTTCTCCTGCTCTGTAGTAACTGGCTGTTCACTAGCCTGACTCTCTGATTCAGCTTTAAGGGCCTTAAGGACTAGCACTGGGTCCTATCTTTGTGTTCCCAGTACCATAGGCCCAAAAGCTCAATGCATGCCGTGGATGGATGGATGCATGGATGGATGGATGGATGGATGGATGGATGGATGGAGAGATTGTGTTTTCTCAGTAAGCCTCAGAAGGCACCAGATTTCCTGGGAGAATAAAAACCCAGTTTCTCTGAGCCTTTCGGTTTTTACAGTGTCCTCCCTCCTGTCCTATTCACCAAGGAGTCTCCGAGGTAAGGGGGCAGAGAGAGATCCGGGTTCTTTAGCCTTAAGCTTTTCACCTCCCCTCATTCCGGCTCAGCACTGACACCTGCTCCTTCTCCCTTCAGCCCATCGGGGACTATTAAGGGCTCCAGGGAGGCAAAGCACAGACCAAGGAAGTCAGACTTTTTTTTTTCTGCCCTCACTTGCTGGGGTGACACAGGAAGCCTCTGAAGATTGTTGACAAAGTATCATGCAACCAGGTCCCCTCAAACCTGAAACCAGCGAGCACTTACCAAAAAAGAAAGTGCCACTGAGTGCGTGCGAGGAGGAGTGAGCCGAGATCCAAAAGGACATGGGGTGCAGGGAAGGGCGCCCTGGATGCTCTGGAAAGGATGCTGAATGAGGTGACGCTGGGTGGAGGGCTGGCTGGGGGTGGATGGAAAGAAAGGGCCAACCCCAAAGCATTGACTCTCACAGTTTCCCAAGAAGGCCAGGGACTGGGGCCCCTCCTTGCCCTGTGCTTCGGTGACATCCGGGGCCAGCTTCGCGCCAGGCAGAGTGGGCTTTGTGCTGCCATCTGGTGGTGGAAAGGAAGACCAGTCTTCAAGGGTCCGGGCCTTGCAGCCTGGTGTGTGCGCAGATGTTGGAGTTTGCTGGGGCTTTGCGGGGGACAGAGGGCTGATCAGGTGGAGCAGTCACTGAGATCCTCGAACTCTTGCTCCTTCTAGAAGGTGCGGGATTTATTGCACTTTCAGTTGTCCTTTTTGCCCAGCACTTAGCACAGAGCCTGGTACAGAGCAGGCACTTGGTATCCTCAACCACAAATTAATTAAGATTTGTTGAATGCCTACCATGCACCAGGTGCTAATATATTTTATCTGTGACAACTTTGAGATGAAAATGATATGATTTTTTTTTTTAACAGAAGGGGGCACTGAAACCATGAGAAGTCCATGGAGTCACTTGGTAGATATTTACCGAGCACCTACTACAGGCTATGCTGTGCTAGGCACTGGGACATAGAGATGAATATTACAAATAGGAGCTGCCATTCTAGAGTCAAAAGCTTGGAAAATAAAACATACAAATTATACCATGTTTGATTTAATTGTGATAAATACCCTAAAAAGCAAAAAAAAAAAAAATAGTGCAGGGTACTTCAACATGTTAACTAACTTTCCAGTTCATTTGATTAAATGAACATATGTTTCTTCTAGCATGACTTGGAAGAGTATTGAATTATGTGAATAAAAATGAATACCCTTTTCTTTTTCTTTTCTTCTTCAGCTTTGACTCCCTTCACTCTCTCTCCTCGTGGGCCTCTCCTCTTTTTTTCTCTTCCTAACTTCTCTGCCAGTGCTATCGTTGACAATCTGGTGTTATCACCATTTGTTGAATGAATACATGAATTAATGAGTGAATTCCTGGGCACATTTACATCACAAATGTGTCACCCATCCACGGTGACTTAGGGAGGTGTGGTTCCTGCTAGTTGCTCACAATCTAATATGGAGGAAAATGTGGCAATGAAAAATTAAAATACCAAACAGAGGAGAGAGCAGTTGTGCTGAGGAGAAAGGTGCCCAACTGACCTTGCTTCTCAGGAGGATCTACAAACTTCAGAGAATCTGGACAAATTCCAGCCCTCACACCAGACCTGTCACCTTTGACAAATGTTCTATGGTCATATCTCCATTTGTGGGTGTCAGAGACATGACTCTCCTTGACAATTCTCTGATTTAGGGAGACTTATTAATTTCAATAAGGAATATACACTTCCAAGATCAGTAGTTCTCAAACTTGTCTGTCCATTGGGGTCACCTGCTGTAATGACTTTGGACCACAGGAAATTTTTTGTTTATTTTAAATAACTGATTGGGATTATTTGGAGTTTTGGGGGGTTACTGAGGGTCACTTAGGATCGTTGGGAGTCTTTAAAAATCACTAATATTGGGTTCCCTCCCAGATATTTTGATTTAATTGATCTGAAATATGACCTGGGTGTCAGGAATTTAAAAGCTCCCCTGGGAAATTTTAAAGTACAATCATTTCTGGGAGCTACTGGAAGGTCCTCATGAGCAGGCTGCTAACTTGCTCTAGGTTTGAAGTATGGGCAAAGCCAGGATGTCCAGAAGAATCAGCTCTGCTGAGTTCACAAGCAATCTGTGGCATTATAAACCTGTGTCCATTTATTCAAGTAAATGACTGCTCAGCACATTCACTGTGCCCCTGTAAGTACAAGTGGGTCAGTCTCCGCTCTCAAGGGTCTGGCTGGGGCAAAGGGACCTAACAAGTCAATCTTACATAGTTGGTGATAAGATGTGTCAAGTCCAGGGTGTCGTAGGAGCACAGTAGGTGGGGCATTTCATCTGGGCTACACATCCTTTCAGGTCATACCCTCTATCTAGTCATCTACAGAGAGACATCAATCAACAGATGTTTATGGGGCATCTGCTGAATGTCAGACCCTGGACAAGGCCCCCCACAGGCAGTAGAGAGATGAATAAAATGAGTCTAGTGTCAGGAAGTCGTCCTCATTTCTTTCCTAGGAAACAACTTGAGCCGAATCCTGTCACTGAGTAGAAACCAGTGGAATAGGAATATGGAGGAAGGTCAAGTCCTTTCTAACACCCAGGAGGCTTCTTCCCAGCAAACCTTCAAGATGTGTGGGATTTCAAAGGTCGAGCATGAAAGAAGGGGGGAATTTTTATTCCTTATCTACTTAGCTAGACTCTTTCCCATTGCTCCCACTTTTTAAACGTCCCTGGATCAAAACTGGAAACTGACTCCCAATCACCAGATTCTCAATGTAGGACAGAGTTGGGAACTGCTTTGTGGTCTTCGCATGACCCACACTCATTGCCTGGTCTCCCATCAGGGTGCACATTCAGCAAGCACAAGACTTCATTGTTTAAGGCGCTTTGAGAGGTAGCAGTGGCCTTCTAATACCATATGTGCCTTACTGATTTCAAAAAAAGGGGAAACCCAACATTGCCCAAGAGCAGTCTCTCTGAATAGAATTGCTTCCCTCATCACAGCGCACTACGTTCGTCACTCTTGCCCCACTTTCTGTCCTTGCTATTTCATTTCCTGTCCACTTCAGAGGAATTTCTTTCCCTCTCCCTTCCTCCCCAACGCAAGCCTGCCATTCACGTCTTCTGTAATTAAATCAGTCCTTAGATGTCTCTAGTTTTATTTCCGGTGTTCTGCTCTCCTTTTCATTTTCCTTCTCTACTCTCTTTCATCAGATTTAGTTAATCAACAGCCATTTATTAAACCTACTAAGTACCAAGTTTAATCAGGGAGTACACAGAGAAACCCAGAAGCTAGTCCTGGTCCTAGGAAACCTTATAATCAAACTGACAAAATAAAGACAAATGGAGATAAGGTACTACCGTACTGGCTGACGTGGTGTTGGTCTACAAAGAAGGCTTGACTGATGGGGACTTCACATGTCATGGGAGGGAGACTTCAACATGGGGCGATGGGTAGACACGACAAAGATTTTGTTAAAGTATACATTTTCAAAATAGTTTCTAATTATCTTCTGTATTACAGACGGTTCCATTGTGATATTTCCTTCTTCATCTTGTATTTTAGTAATTTGAGTTTTCTCTCTGTTTATACTGTAGATAGTTATTGAACTCATCATTTTGGTTCAATGTGAGAAAGCAGTAGATGCCTTAGTGGGAGTTACTAGATTTAAGGCTATGTATTGTGTTCATTGGGTGCTGTTAATATTGGTCTTATCAGTAAAGGCAAAGTGCTGGAAGCCTTCAGGGACACTGTAGGTCTCCAGAATAGAACTGATCCTGACTAAGGTCCATACAATTAGATGAAAAAAAACACTAACAACATGAAAAACAAGGGAATAAAGTGCCCCAAACAAACCAAGATGCTTCAACAACAGAAGCCACTGATAACACAGTAGAAGAAATGTCCAAGAAGGAATTTAGATTGTATATAGTTAAATTGATATGTGAAGTAAAAAGTAGTATAAGGAGTGAAATCAAAGAAAAAATACAGGAAGTGAAAGACCACTTCAATAAAGAGTTAGAGACTGAGAGAAAAAAAACAAACAGAAATCCTCAAAACAAAGGAATCAGTAAACTAAATTATAAATTCAATAGAAAGCATCAGCAACAGATTAGACCACTTGGAAGACAGAACCTCAGACAATAAAGACAAAATGTATAACCTTGAAAGTAGAGTTGACCATGCAGAGAAGATGATAAGAAACCATGAGCAGAATATCCAAGAATTATGGGATAACATGAAAAGACCAAATTTAAGAGTCATTGGAATGGATGAAGGAGCAGAGATACAAACCACAGGAATGCAAAATCCTTTCAGTGTAATAGCAGAAAATTCCCCAAACCTAAAGAATGGAATGGAAAATCAAATACATGGGGCTTACAGGACCCCAAAAGTACAAAATCACAGCAGACCCACACCAAGACACATTATAATGAGAATGACTAACATACAGAATAAAGGTAAAATCTTAAAGGCTATGAGAGAAAAAAATCAAATTATGTATATGGGGGAACCAATTTGAATCTCAACTGATTTCTCAGCCCAGACCCTGAAAGCTAGGAGGTCCTATTTAAATCTCTGAAAGAAAATAGACACCAACCAAGAATTTTATATCCAGCAAAATTAAGTTTCAGGGCTGGGAATGTGGCTCAAGCGGTAGCACGCTCGCCTGGCATGCATGCGGCCCGGGTTCGATCCTCAGCACCACATACAAACAAAGATGTTGTGTCTGCTGAAAACTAAAAAAAAAAATAAAAAATATTTTTAAAAAATTGTTTCAGATTTGAATATGAAATTAAATCATTCCATGATAAAAAAAAAAACTAAAAGAATTCACAATTAGAAAGCCTACACTACAGAGCATTCTCAACAAAATATTCCATGAGGATGAAGTGGGAAAAAAAAAAGTGAAAAACCAGCAAAGGGAGAATCTACACTTAAAGGGACATTCAACCAAATGAGAAACAAAGACAAATCAAAAACCAGAAATAAATCAAAATGACACGGAATACAAATCATATCTCAATAATAGCCTTGAATGTTAACATCCTAAACTCATCAATCAAAAGACAGATTGGATTAAAAAGCAAGACCCAACAATATGCTGTCTTCAAGAGACTCACCTCATGGGCACAGACATCCACAGGCTAAAAGTGAAAGGATGGGAAAAAACTCATCACTCATATGGCTTGCGAAAAGAAGTAGGGGTTACTACTTCAGATAAAGTAGACTTCAAAGTTAATCAGAAGGACATTTCATACTTTTTAAGGGAAGTATGTATAAACAGGACATAACAGTTATAAATATTTATGCCCAAACAATGGAGCATCTAGGTATAACAAACAAACCCTTCTCAATTTCAAGAGTCAAATAGACCACAATACAATAATACTGGGTGACTTTAACACACTTCTTTCACTACTACACAGATCTTCCAAACAAAAACTAAATAAGGAAACTATAGAACTAAATAATACAATCAAT